TTCTGGCTTCTGCTTGAAGGCCTGCAAGGAAGGGGCACCCACCATCTCTCCAGGGAATGCATTCTGCCTTTGGACAGCTGTGCTTGTTAAATAGTGTTTCCTGACCAGCCTACATTGGCTTTCCTACATCTTCCATTCATTGCTTCTGGTTCTGACCTCTGGGCCCAAGCAGAACAAATCCAGTCCCAACTCTACTTGACATCCCTTCAAACACTTGAAGACAACTATCATGTCCTCCCTGAGGCTTCTTCTCTTCTCCAGGCTGAACATCACTCATTCATAAGATGAACACTTACTGGTGCAGCTAGGATTAGATAGAGCTCTAGCCTTGGAGTCAGGAGGACCTGAGTTCAAATCCAACCTCAGACACTTGACACTTACTAGCTGTGTGACCCTGGACAAGTCATTTAACTCTGATTGCCTCATCAAAAAGAAAAAAAAGATGAATACTTACTGAACATCTAGGATGTGCAAAGGGCTAAGGGTTAAACAAAGATGAATGAAAGCCATATGATCATGCTAATGAGAGTTGGAAATCACCTGTTCTAAGAAATCCTTCATTTTACAGATGAAGCAACTAAAACTCAGAAAAGTGACTGCTCTGGGGTCCCTCAGATAGTAAATAGCAAAGCTGGGATCCAAAGCCCATCCTCAGACTCCAAAGGTAGTGGATGCTGGGCTGTTTCTTAGGCATTCATTCACTTATTCCATGAGGGCAGGAACCCTTGTATCTCTGTCTCTCCTTTGGTTCCTAATTCAGGAATGGAGTAAGAATCTAATAAGTGACTCTAAAATCATTGTTATCCCAGAGCTTTGAGGAACCCACAATCCGACTGAGAAGAGGAAATATTGGAAGGATCCACACGGGATGTTCCTCCCGGCAGTGGCAACAACCACGGCTTTATACAATCAATGCGTTTCCTGAAAAGTTGTCTGTGAAACTAGCTTTTGGAATTGACCCTATTTGCCTTACATTGAAATCCCAGAAATGGGATTCTTCACTTGGCAGAGGCTTCTGATGCTTAACTATAAATTTCTCTGCCTGCCTTTAATTTCTCTGGCAAGTAGTGAACAAGCTGTAGATAAATATTTAAATGCTTGCGGGACATTTAAAGGAACTCTTTACAAAATTCAGAAATCCTTTTAGAGTGTGAATGATCATTCCCTACTCCGATAGCTCTTTGGTAAATAAGGGGGAACTGCAGGACCCTCATGGGATTCTTCAGAGGAACCTTGAGTTCTTACCCCACTGGGACTGTGGGTAGGGTGCCTCCACTCTCAGCCTTGGGACTCTAGGTCAGCTTATGAAGCAACTTGGGGCGGGGCTGAGCAAGAGATAGAGAGTGCCAGTGAAAGTTCGGGTGGAGTTGTCCAACACCACCACGTGGAAAGAATACTGGACTAGGAAGCTCAGAAGACCTGAGGCCAAGGTACCAGCTCTCTTGTTTTCATAAAGCATAGAATTCTGGAGCTAGAAGAGCTCTTGGAGATCATCCAGCCCAATTTTTACCAACTGAACCTTTCTGACACCTAGTTTCCTAGGGAATAATAATAATACTTATATTGCACAGTGTAAGGGAAGCGCTTTGTAAACTGTAGAAATGTGAGCTGTAGATGATGATGATAACAATGGTGATGATACTGGCCACCCTAGGGACCAGACATGGAAATGGATGGAATGTTCATTGAATAAGCAAATTAACAAGTAATTGTTCTGTAACAACTTTGCAGAATTTTGTTGTTGGTGTTTATATCATTCCAGTGGTGTCTAACTCTTTGGACCCCATTTGGGGTTTTCTTGGCAAAGATACTGAAGTGGGTTGCCATTTCCTTCTCTATTTAACAGATGAGGAAACTGAGGCAAACTGGGTTAAGCAGCTTGCCCAGGGTCACAGAGCTAGTGTCTGAACCTGGATTTGAACTCATGAAGACGAGTCTTCCTGATTCCAAGCCCATCTCTATCCACCATGTCACCTAGCTGCCCTAATAATATATAACTTTGTATAATACACAATTCTAGACCTTTGGGAAGCCCCAGTAAAGGAGAACCTCCATGTGGGTTTCATTCTGTTGGAAAGAAGATGGACCTTGATGTCAATGAACATGAGTTCAAATCTGACTCCTAATGCTTTCTACCCATGTGATCTTGGATCACAAAGCTCTCTATGATTTTTGGTTTCCTCATTAACAAAATGGGGAGGTTGGGTTAGATAATGTCACTTCCAGTCAAAATACTGTGACCAACAATCCTTCTTGATGTCACTGGTGCATCTTGGACTGAATCAGGAATTCCACTTGTGAATGCAATAAACCTCCAAGGAGGGCCACTCGAGTGTCCTTGGACAGGAACCACATTAGCCTGCAATAGACTGGAGATATTTGTTTAGTTGTTTTCAGTTGTGTCTGACTTTCTGTGATCCTTTTTGGGCTTTTCTTGGGTAAAGATATTGGAGTGATTTGCTATTTCCTTCTCCAGCTCATTTTGCAGATAAGGAAACTGAGGCAAATGGGGTTAAGTGACTTGCCCAGGGTCACACAGCTAGTGTCTGAGGACAGATTTGAACTCAGGTTTTCCTAACTCCAGGCCCAGTGCTCTATCCACTGCACCACCTGGCTGCCCCTAGCATATTGGAGAGGGGGGATTATTCTCTAGAGCAGACCTTCAGAGCCTGGCCCATATATGCAGGTGGGCCTTGCTTCCCAGAATTCCATGGTCAGCTCCAGACCCTCAGAATACAGGCTTGGAGTCCACCCCACCCCCACCTTCCACCTCCATCCAGCCCAGCTATATCCTCATTTGTGAAACGATCAAGTTGGATCAGACAATCTTAAAGGTTTCTCCTACCACTAAATTCTATGATGCCATTACCCTATCTTGAAAGGTCTGGGACATTATCAACCCTGAAGGGGTTGGTTGAGGGTTGGCCAGTGGGATAAGACCACCATTCTTTATTTTATCTGAAGTTTATTTAGAACCCTTAATGGGTGCAGTACCTTTGGTGGCGGGTTCATGAGCCTTGGTGCATTTTCTTGCTTCTCTCTCAGTGTTGTCTGGATCTTTCCTGGCTGAGGGAGACTCATGTTTAGGGATCCGCAGCCCTTCCAGAATCTATTTCACCACCTTGGCTCTAGGTGTGGGACTTGACCTTGACACAGATATTTCTTCATTTGGTCTCCCTGGTGTCCAACTTCTGAGGTTCCAAGGTCTAAACAATAGAATTATCTTTTCTTTGTTGCTGTTAAGTCATTTTTCAGTAGTGTCTGATTCTTTGTGACTCCATTTGGGGTTTTCTTGGCAAAGACGCTTGAGTAGTTTGCCATCTCTTTCTTCAGCTTATGTTATAGATAAGGAAATTGAGGCTAACAGGGTTAAGTGACTTCTTCAGACTAACACAGCCAAGAAGTGTCTAAGGCCAGATTTGAACTCAGGAAGATGAGTGTTCCTGGCTCTAGGTCCAGCGCTCTGCGTACTATGGCACCACCTAGCTGCCACACTCTTTTCTTACTGAAACCAGTAAGAGATGAAGGCAAAGGGATGACAGGAATCAAAGGAAGTCAAAGATGGAAAAGGCACAGGAAAAAGGAGAAAGCTGGGAGAGAGAAGGAGAAAGGTGAGATTGTGGTGCATGGATGTCCTGCCCTTCCTTCTATTTCCTCTCCGGCTGCCATTTTTTTCTGTCATTGAGTCCCCTCCCTTCTTCTGGCTTTTCATAAGTGCCATTTCCTTCTTCTGGCACCAGCTGCTAGTGCCTTTCCCTCAGAAATTACCTTCTGTTCATTCTGTATATATTTTGTATGTACCTAGTTATTTACATTTGTCTTCCCATGAGGATGTGAGCTCCTTGAAAGATTTTTTTTTTTTGCATTTCTTTGTATCTCTAGCACTTAGTACAGTGTATGACACATAGTAGGTACTTAATAAATAATTTACTGACTTGCCATCTGATTGTAAGTGCTTAATAAGTGCTTACTGACTGATATGTTCCCCATTATTCAATTTTGCTTAAGGGAAGCTGTAGGTATTAACTTTTCTACCTAGCTGTCTCTCAGAGCAGTACAGGGATCTTTGGTCTTTTCAAGGTTCTGTTTGTTTGTTTTTTTTTCTAATCGATACAAGGAATCATATAGGATCTTGAAATAGCCAATGGAGCCCAAAGTTGCAAAGTGGAAAGTTTTTAGAAGTCTTAATATCTTTGCTGAATCTTCAGGGCACATGCAGAATGATAGGTCAACATCTGTCTTGGTTTCTCTGATTCACTGTCAAAATACCTTCTACCGGAACTTATCTGGAGTCTGCTGACTCAGTCCTATAAGTATTAGATGCTAGCTGGGTATATTGAGATTGAGTTTTGCAAGTGTGCTGGCTCCCTTAGCCTTTTCAGAAACTGCTTTCTCAACTTGGTTCCAGGTGGGACCCCTGTAGAGGCACTCTTTTTTCATCCAACCACAAAGATTCTTCTCTTGATCTCTTGCCCAGCCAGGTTTAGGGGGTTCCAGCTTACTCTAAGTCCTACTTTGCTGTCCTACACAAAAAGTCTTTTTTCTCTATGTGGTCTCCAAAATTCCTTTAATGGTCTTCAGACCATCTTGTGCTTACACCTAAGTCATCTTCACTCTCCTGAAGATGTTCATGGGCCCTAGAAACTCTCAAACAGGCATCGAGGTAACACTGGACATGGAGTGAGGAAGGACTGAATTTGAATCACAGGGCAAGTCACTTCCCCCCTCAATCTCAGTTACCACATGTATAAAATGGGAATAAGAGTAGTACTTACCTTACAAGGTAGTTGTGAAGATCAACATAGGCAAAGCTACTTGCAAATCTATAGAAATGTTAGCTACTATTATTAACTCTCCCTTGACTTACTTTTCTCATTGCATCTTGCTTGGTTTTCCTGAAGCACATTTGCTAGCCACTTGTGATTGAGTCTATCTTTAAATAAAGCTTATCTTCCAACTCTGTTGCTCTAGATTGTAATCTCTGCCCCATTTCTTTCTAGAAAGATGTCGTGTGGTCCCAAGGCCATTGGGACTATGGTAGGACCACAGATTCAGAGTTAGAAGGGACAACAGAGATCACCTTATCCAAACTCCTCATTTTATAGATGAGGAAACTGAAGCCTACAGAGTTTAAGTCACACAGGTAAGCTGTGCCCTCAGCCCTACTGCCCTCAGTGATAATTCTTCATAAGATCTACTATTCCCCCCCCCCCCGCAAAAGCATCCGTTGGATTTGCAATGTTCCTATTTCTGGTCTTAATTCTAGCTTTGACTTGTCAGAGCAGAGACAGCAGACAGGTCCTCTGCATGGCTCAGATGACTATTTCTACTACTTCTCAAGTGCCAGCAGGTGAGAAATTATCCAGGAAGAATGAGAAGAACAAGAAATGAATAGTGGTGGTTGGTGGTTTACCACTGAAGGGGCACTGAGACAGCTTTTGTAACCAAACATTAAGAGAATGCTTCCATTGAACCACCCCACTCCATATCCCAACTAACACTGAAGCATCAGGGGGGATGACTACTCCAAATTCAAGATTTGTGGATCTGTATTTCTAAAATTATAGCCCAAGAGCCCCCTCTAATATGTTTACCGTTATTAGTCAGCCTGAGGACACAATTAACCTGAAACAAAGGCATTTACTGAAATGGCATAGCTACAAAACACTGCCCCTACAAATTTGGGCTACATGCACCATCAGTGGGAAGATTGGGCACATTCATAAAATACATTAGCAGAAGGGGAACACAGACAGCCAAGGGGGCACTACAAAGATGTCTTCCTGGTTCTCATGGTGTCGGCACACTGCTTCCCCTCAGTATAGTGAATCTGCCAGGCAGGTCATTCTACTGGGCCCTCTTCCCTCCTCTCCTAATCTCATCTCAGCTTTGTAGTTGGACTCCCTGCTGCTAAGCATGTATCTCTTATCTCTTTATGCACAAATTGTCCTCTGGAAGATACCAATCCTGTTTAGGGATAAGGGGAGGAAGAAGAAGAGAGAAGAGAAGGCAAGGCTAGGAATAAGCATTTATATAGTGCCTAGCATGCATCAGGCACTGTGCTAAGTGCTTTACAAATATTATCTCATTTGATTCTCACAGAAACTCTTTGAGGTAAGTACTGTTATTATCCTCATTTCATTATTGGGGAAACTGAGACAAACAGAGATTAAGTGACTTGCCCAGGGTCATGCAGCTGGCTAGTAGGTATCTAAGGCCAGAACTGAACTTGGGTCTTGCTGAGTCAAGGCCCAGCACTCTATCTAATGAGCAACTTAATTGTCTCTAAATATCCCCTCTCCCCCATGCTCCACTCTGGGAGAGGCACAAGGGGACAGACAAATTCCCTGGGTTCTTCCTCCACAACTAACTCTTTTCTTCTCTGCCAGGGATGGCCCCTTCTCAATTGGTATTAGAACTCCCTGGCTTGTTTTTGTTTTTTAAAGGCCAAGGGACCTTTGGTCTGATACCTCTCAGACAATTTCTAACACTGATGCTACCTGTTAGTTGTCTGTAGCTAATGGTCTATTATTCCCTCATAAACATGATTTTTTTTTACCTTTTAAAGCAGTAAAAAAATGTGAACATTCCTAAAACTTTCTTTACAAGCTGTGAATTTGCCTCCCTTTATGGAGGCCACTCAGCATGTATATTGACACTCAAGGTTTCATGCCCTTGTAAGCCAAGACTTCAGACACTCAAAGTCCTAAAGAGGCAAAATCACTTGTCTCCTTGTCTCTGTTACCTGCCCCTAACATCTGATAATCTTATCAAGTGGGTTGGAGGGGGACTCAAATGGTCAGGTGTCTCTTGATATAATCACCCCCTCATACACACATGAAAAATAGAGATGTCTGCTGTATTCTGGGGTATGCATTCAGGATGTGTTGGAGAATCTCTTGAGACTTGTGAAATCTGATGACTATCCACTTCTGGTCATCCATGTGAGCAGAAATGTTGTTGCCTAAAAATAATCTAGAAGTCGTCATTGAGGATTATAAAATGCCCACTGGGTATGTGGTAGTGGTGGGAAAATACAAGATAACGCAGATATGAAATATCATATAATTTAAGGAGAAAGGAAATACTTAACATTGGAGAAATTAAGGAAGATTTAATGTAGGATGTCACACCTGACATTTGGGAGTTGAAAATAAGAGAGTGCATTCCAGGCATGGGGACAGAAAGGAACGTGCATGGAGAGTTCAATAAAAGACTGTGTTTTGGATATACAACTGCATTGTAACAAAATTACATGCTGAGTTAGGTAACAGTCATACTGTTTTCTTTTTTAATTATTCTTTTCTTCTGAGCCTGGGATAATGATGTTACAAGAAGAGAGACTGCCAAAGCAGTTTCTGATAATTCTTGCACAAATGAGATGAATGCTCTCCTACCTTCTCACTGGAGGTCTCCAGGAGTGTATACTCATAGCAAGAAGGGAGCCATGTGATAGGACAGAGGGAGCCCAAGGTATGTTCTCTAGTATGGATGGTTGCCTGCTTCCTTCTCTTTCCACTGCTCTTGAGAGTTGGACTTCCAATTTTTCTTCAGGTGATGGGGCAAGAGAAGATGTTGCCTTGGGTTTTTGGTCTTTGGGGCTTCCATAAGATAAATCAGAAAAGGGGTGTGGCTACTGGAGATCAGCTGTGAAGAGATGATCAGATTTTGAAGCAGAGAAGACCGCTGTACCAAGAAGAAGGATCCGGAGTCTCAAGACCCATTCTGTTGGCAAGCTGGAAATAAAGCTTGATTTCTTTCACTGCTCTTCCCTCTGCTTTTCCCTGGTATAGTTTGTATTTCTGAGATAGGGACTCAGTATTCCACCCCCTTCCTCTATTTATTCCTTTCCAATGAACTATAAGTGTGAATCAGGGGATTTGGGAGGTCAAGTGGGAAAAGGTTTAGGAGATGGCTGGAGGAAGTGGCTCCCTATAGGAGTTGAGGTTTTTTTTTTCTGTGTTCAGTAACTAATGTGATTATAATATATTAAGTATTAGAGTCCTCTTAAGAGGGGAGGAGGGAAAAGTGGATGGGTTATAACCAGATAGAGGAAAGCACAGAGGTAATGAGGGCTCTAGGGCTATGTATAGATCATAGACTTTACAGTTTGGTATTTTGAGTAATACTTATTCCATTTTATGCTCTAGAATAATTATTAGACCTGGACAGCCCCAGGTTCAGCAGTAAGTGGAAGCAGTATAGGCATTTGCAGACTGAGTACCCTCTGGTGGTCAATAGTGATACTGTATCATTTTAAAACTAAGCCACATATTTTCTGGAGACTAATGAGTCCGGAGGTGGTGAGTGAACAACTCAGCTGGTTACTAAAATAGAATGCTACTGGTGGGCAGTTTTCATATGCACTCCCTCACTGAATATTTAATACAGTGACATATTGTTTTCCTGTAGGCTTGGGGAAGTCAACACAAGCCACATAGGCTAAGGATACCGAGAAAAGTGCCAGAATAGTCTAGTCGCAATAGTATGGAATCTGAGACACTGTTCAAGGATTTGGTTCATGTATTCTCTATGTATCAGACTGAGGGGGAGCGATTTGCCATTAGAAGGTGAGGTTTTAAATGGAGGGATGTGAAAAGTTTAAAGTAGGGGGGAAACCACCTACGAACTGTGACTGAAGATTATGTAAAGGGGGATGCCATAAAAACAAGAAAAAAAGTTCTTTCAGGAACAATCAGAGAGCTTCAGCAGTCATGGAAAATTTAGCACTGGGGAAGATGTCAATAATCTTGTCCGAGCAGCACCAGAATGTCATTATATCTCTAGGATGGGATTAAGCCTTGTCCAAGGCCAGTATTACTTTGTCTAGGGACAGAGGAGATTCAACAGAGTTGCCACAGACTTGTTGGAGTGTATACAGTGAAGAAAAAACTTGGAACTTCAAGGCAATAGAAATTTGGGCTCAAAAAAAATACTAGCTGAGTGACATGTCACATGTATAAGCACATGTGTGTTTACACACACATAGATTATGCACAAAATAAATAAAAGATGGTGTGGGAAGAGAGGGCACTAGCAGCTAGGAAAACTAGGACTCATCTTGAAGGTAGAATTTGAGTTGAATCTCGAAAGGAAACCAGGGATTCTCAGAGGCAGGGATGGGAAGGGAGTGCATTCCAGACATAGAGGATGGCCAATGCAAAGACACAAAGATGGGAGATGGCACATTGGAAGTGAGAAACAGCAAGTTGGCTAATGTGACTAGACCATAGAGTTCAGGGAGAAGAGTAATGTGTATGAAGACTGGAAAGATGGAATGGACCCGTTATAACAACAGAAGTATTTAAGTCTGGGATAACACAAACCACACCTGAGGAAAGTGACGTTAAACATGGCATTAAATTAACTTTTTTTAGCCAGGAAAACATGGTGCAGCCATTGTTGGGATGGGAGTAAAGGATAGCTCAGATGACAGAAGAGCTTGCCTAAGGTAGAACCACAAGGGGACAGAAGAGGGCCAATTGGTAGCTTCCTATTTTAAGCAATTCTGTTATTTCTCCAATGCTGAAGGATGGCGAGGACTTTCAATACCCTCTAAACTGGGCAAAGTCCCAGTTTCCTTGCCCTGGTTACGTCTTTGTCTAACATGCTCTGAACCAAAGCCAAAGTTTCACATTCACCGTCTTTTGCCCCATAGCAGAAATCTGCCTGCTTCCTGATGTCCATAAATATTCCTACAGAATTGTCATCCATCATTTTCCTCCCTACCTCCTCTGCAGCAGTGAGAATCATAAAGCTAATTTTCCCCCAAGAATGTCACCGTCTGCACGGCTTTCCTTTCCCCAACTCTACTACCTCTGGACATCCTAACATCATCCATCACTCAGCAGATGAAGATGGCATATTAGCTGACTGGATCAAAAAATACAGATCCATGATCATCTCATGCAACTGTTGACAGAATGCGATAAATGTGTCTCAAGTACCTGTGATATGCCAGGCTCTGTCACAGATATTGGGGGTACAAAGATAAAATATAAGCCCTGCCCACAAGGGACTGAAAATACAATAGAAGGGGTATGAAATGTGCACAAATATATACAATAGCAGAAGGTGATTAAGGACAAAGGAAATATCAAGTTAAGGTGCTTTTTTTTTGGTGAGGTAATCAGGGTTAAGTGACTTACCAAGGGTCACACAGCTAGCAACTGTCAAGTGTCTGAGGCTGGATTTGAACTCAGGTCCTCCTGACTCCAAAGTGCTCTTGAAAAACATGAGGAGGCATAGCATGCTTGCATCCAGGGCAGGTGGAGTAGGGAGCAGGGAAGGCTTTGAGGAGGAGGTGGTAACAAAGCTGGGTTTCCACTTTCATGCCATCATTTAACAAAAATCTATAAGCTTCTGTAATGAAATAACATTGCTTCTAATATTAGTGGAAATTGTATGTTCTTATTTGGGAGATCATAGATTTGGAGGTGGAAGGGATCTTTGCTCAACTACTGTTGTCCGACCCTTTCACTTTGCAGATGAGGAGAATGGAGCCCAGAGAAATTCAACGACTCTCCCAAAGTCACCCAGTTGATAAGCATCAGAGGCAAGATTTGATTGCTAAAAACTTAATTCTAAGGGAGAGGGCATCCAATAGAACGTAAGATCTTGGATGGTAGAGACTATTTTCTATCCCCAGCACTTAGAATGATGCTTTGTCCATGGTGAGCACTCAATAAATGCTTGTTGAATTGAATCTATGGCTAAGCCAAGAGTTTAGAGACCTGGGGAAGGGAGGATTGGAGAAGGGAAGAATAGAAGGGGGAAGAAGTAGATTTCACCTTCTGAAAAATGTCTTCATAGTAAGTAGAGTGCTGCTGTTTGTCCTTCATCTGGGAGGAGGACTGTGACATTGAGAAGGTGATGTCATGCCTTGCAAGCGAGGGAGGGCTGTGCAAAGTCACCAGCCTCAGCTTCTCCTCAGGAGCCATCTCAGTCCAGTGGCAAGATAGAGATTAGGACAATTCGAGATGGCCCCGGATGCACAGGCAGACCTTGACCTTTTTAAGCTAAGGTCTTTCTGAATTCTCACTTTGACTGAGGCAACACCCATTCAATGATTGAGGCTAGGCAAGAAATGAGGCAATAATGACCTCTTTTGCTCAGATTCTTAAAATCTAGGCACTGCTCAGATTCTTAAGATCTGGCCCACTTGCATTAGAGACAGAAATGCTTAGAATCCTCAAGGGTCTGGTCAAATGTGGCGGACGTTCTAATAAACCTTGTCTTTGGCTGAAAGAAGGCTTGGGTCGAATTCATTCAGGCAGGACTGACGTGTGATTTTGGGGTCCCAGCACCCCCAACCCCTAAACCTCAACATTTTGGTAGCCTGTATGGGGAAGCTACCTAACCCCAAGTTCTTCTCCAGCCAAGACTGTAAGAGGTATGTAAGCCTCCTCCCACTTCTTTCTTGCCCAGCAGTTGGTGTCACTCTCCAAGCACCTACAGAGGCTTGGAGGTGCTTTTCGGGCAGGCAGTTACGAGGCTGTCTCACACTCGGCCTAAAGCTCTCAAGCTCTGGGTCCACTGGTTTGGTTCAAGGCCACGGACCTGGGTACACCTTCCGTAGCATAGAGGACAAGGACAGATACCCTATCTGGAAGTGTATGCACAATTTTGTCAATTCTCTCAGCACTAGGGAATTGGGAAAGCTGCAGGTGCTTTTGGGTTCCCTAAGGCTTACTTACTCCCTTCCCTCTATATCCCTGAATCCTCCTTCATGGAGGTCACGGGGAAAAGTTAGAACAGCTAAAAACACCTTAGCAGATTCTGTGATCGATCATTAAGGAGTTTTGAAACACCCCCTTACAACCCTGGTTACTCTCTTCTCCCACTCCCTTCCCTTGAGTCAAGAGGGTAACCGTTAATCCCTCTCTTAGGAGAACAGAGTTTCCCCTCCTCCCCACTCCCCACCTCTGAATTCACTTTCTACAGCATAGGCCCCCCCCCGGCAATGGCCTTGGACCCTGGGACAACCTTTGCCTGGAAGCATGACCCAGGTTCAGCATATCCTGCTCAAGGTAAAGAAGCTGGCCTCCAAACATGCGTAAGCAGCTCTTTCAAATTTATAGTTTTAACTGTTAATAATGAGATGTTGATTCTCTGTGTAAAGTTATTTGGGAAATGTGTTTAACAAAATTGAAGTCACCTGATTGGTAATGGGTTTTTTTCAAGTTTCAAATTGGCGAACTTTTTCTATCAAGCAACTTTTCATAATTTGGTTACCACTAAAATAATTTGGCTATTGTTGGTTATTGTTTTAATGTGTAAACTTGCCAAGAAGCTTGTTTGGGTTTTGTCTTCCTGAGAATTTCCAAGTATACAGAAATAATCTCTAATGATTGGCTTTTTACACCAAGACAAATTTAAATTTGAGATGTAAATCCTGGAAAAGTTTTTCCTAAGCCGTGATTAGTGAAACTTGCTGTTTGAGGTAAAAGTTCAGAGGATTTTATTTCTAATTGTCTGATGGATCATAATCCATCAATAATCAATAATTCACCATCTCTGAGAGAAATTCTGCAGGCTACTCAGAGAGAATGTGATGCTGGTGGGAAGTCAGCCTCGGGAAAAGCTGAGAGGACAATTTTAGCTTCAGTCGAAGATGGGATCCTTCTGGCTCAGTTTCCTCATTATGTTCCTTTGAAAAGGAATGTTGCCTACCTGGCTATACCTGGCTATGAGGTGGATTTGATACTGCATGGTTGGAAAACTGAATTATCTGAATCCAAACAGAGCTAAGGATGTTTTATCCCGAAACATTTAGGC